AAATGAATGTACAGCTTACCTTAAGTCCAAGCATTGACCTGGTTGGTGGGGGGGATCAACGGCCAATCCACCGCCCTCACCAAATAGTGGGCTTGGGAGGCATGCTTTCAATAAAAATTAAGAACAGGAGAAAGAATGGTGGCATGGCTGAAACGTGGTGATCTGAAATGTGCAATTGATAATTTCACCACAAGACAAAGCCCTTGCTAAAAATACTATAAAATACCACATACATCAATCACTCTAAAATGTAGGCTTTGTGGTTTCTGTGAAGTAAGATGGCCGATAATGATTAAGTATAGCTCAAGCCTTCAATGTTAAAATAAAACAGTATTTAATTACAGGCATAAATAAATACTTAACAAGAAGAAAGAAGTAAAAGTCAACCAAAGATAATTAACCATTTCAGTGAATACCTTGTTAGTAGCGCGGCTCGGCTTAAAGTCCAGTAAATCTTAAATCAAAACCCAAATCATCGACGCAAAATAATTCACACTAATTCGACTGGATAGTTCCACTCGATAGTCACTCAATAATCACTGCAGTCAGTAGCCTGACATCGCTATTTATACACCTGGTGCAAAACATATATTAATAAATCCAGAGTGTCACGCTCGAACTTCGGTGTCAGTGTCTACCTATATGACAGTGATGAACAATCTGAGAATGTAATTCACCTGATTAATCGATGAAAAATGATCACTTAAAATGCATATAAGAGGCGCCATGATGAGATGTTTATTTATGTACATTGATTTTTTTACCGAAAATACGGCTACCAAGTTGCAAAAAATTGTGACGGGCATGTTCCTTGCAGAATAATTGAAGAAATTGTGAAGCGCGCAATATTCTGGAACTATGATTTTCTGACTGAGTGATACACTATCGGGGTCCGGATATTATTATGCTAAATAAAGGTACGAAGAACTGTCCTATTATTGATGTTGCCATAGCAAATGACACAAATATAGCAAACAAGGTGGTGAGAAAACGAGAAGCTACTCTGATTTGAACGTTTGAGGTGTCAAGATTTTTTGGAATGCAGAAGGGAATGTCAAAATGATTTCAGTGGTGAGTGGTGCATTGGGATCGTTCCCATTAAAACTGTGTAAATTCGTTGATCACCTGTGGATACCATATCCCCTTGGAGTCATCCAAAAATCGGCTCATTGGCAGCACTATGCATATTTTGAAGAGGATGTTGTTTGAGATCCTTGTTGTGACTTGGCAGGTAACATAAGTACCCGGTGTATTCAGGAAATTCATTTTTAAATCAATTAATATTTTTTTAAAATGAATTTCGATTTGTTGTGTATTATAAATAAGTAATAAATATAAAATTGTGTCTTTTTTATTATTATTTACTCGATTTCATTAAAATAGTTAATTCGGGGACACACTGTATATTTCTCTTTGGTATTCTAAGAAAAAAATGTTCCTTTTTGTTTTAATTTTCATTAAAATTTCTTCGATCCATCCATTGTATTTTCCGTATGCTTCTGTGGAAACATATCTCTGTTCCTTCAGGTTTCCATTCAGTGAGAAAATTTTCCAGAATTTACTTCCATAAGTAAATTCTGGACAATTTATATATAGATATAACGTCCGCACTCTTTTCTTTGTTTTTAAGGAAATTTTCCTGTTTGTTAAAACTTTACTTAGCTTTTGGAAGGCATCGTTAGCGTTTCCAATGCACCTTCGGATATTAATATCCTTCTAATTTTTCAGTCTGTACCTGTTTGTTTAAATCAACCACCTGCTTCGCCAATTTCTTTTCTATTTATTTCTAAATGCTTCCAACTCTGACAAGAGTTGGCAGTTTAATTCCAGTGAGCTACAGGCTGGTAAATCAATATCGTTAAGTAGGTAGGTTGCTTTTCAGGACAAGATAGTAGGAACAAAGCGAAATGGCCATTGCTGTCAGGATTAAATGAATTAGGATTGAACAGATGGCCCAAAGAAGCAGGCAAAAAAAAAAAAAAAACAGCTACTGATACGAACTGATTTGATCTTCAAAAATTTAAATGCAACGTCAATCGTTATCTTCTCTCTTCATAACTCTTATCCTTTTATTGCCCTCTCCTTAATAGTAGTTATTTCTCGTATTCTCTAACTCTTAGTCGCTTTATTGCCTTGCCTGGGGTGAAATGATTATATCCAATGACTTAGATAGGAATACGGGTTTGGTGCTGAAAAGTTCTTGCATCGACCAACTTCCTAGAATCTGACCAATTTAGATAAGAACAGGTTACCTTTGAGTATGTCTTGTTTGCATTGAAAATTTTCAGTATTGTTGATGACAAACACACGCGCGCGCTCGTACACACACACACGCGCGTGCGCATATATATTATACTTACTTCTCCATACTCTGAATGAAAAGTCAGCGTAGGAATAAATAGTATGCACTCGTCCACCACCCCGACCCCCACCCCAACGCCCGACGAATTGGATACTGTTTCCGCACAACTCAGGATACGTACAGACAAGTGAACATTCAATTTTATTATTTTTATACATTACTATCTCTTGGTATTGATCACTCAGCAAGTTATTTGTATACTGGATTGGTGAGAAAGCTGTATAGTAAACAACCAATGGGAAGTTGTGGAGAACCGTGATCGTTACAAGGAACAGGGTGTTGTGGAGAGTCATGATCGACCACGTTCCGGAGGGACAAAACATATAAACAGTATTCTGTTTCTTGTGTCTTGGCTCATTAAAAATATTAACTGGAACCTTATTTTATTCTTAATCGTCTTCAAGGCGCCGTTTTGTTCTGCGATCTTCTTAATATTAATTCAGTTCGGCTCAGTCTGTCATAAGACCGTATATTTCGAGTACAGAGTGAAGGTCCTACCAATTTGGCATTGATCAGAGATTCGAAGATTTTCCCAAACAGTCGTAGAAGGCAAAATAGGCCGATAGTTGGATGGGTCGGGTATTTCACCAGACTTCTTAAAAACTGGAACAACAGATGATGGCTTCCTGCAGGTAGGAAAGCAGCAGACAGCGAGGCATTTATTACACAGTTTAGGTCTTGGTCGATCATGGCGCTCCATGAGATCCTATTCCCTGTAGATCTCGACAACCTTTGATTTTCTAATATTTTAGCTCTTCTAAACGTTTTGCATTTTGAGAGCCATCATCATCTATATCCTGAAGCGATACTTCAGAACATAGGTGATCACGGCTCTCCACAACTTTCTATCATTTTTAGCTCGCAGTAACGCTTAATTTACTAATACTTCAGCTCTTCTAAATGTTTTGTACTGGCCAAAGCTTTTGTGTCCTTCACGGAAGTGCGACATCAAAATCCGAATAGGGCATTTGCATAGCGAAATTTACCTTCCAAAAATCTAAGCAAAGTATTCGGAAATAATACTAAACAGCTATATGATTTCAGTTCGCATTTATGGAAGTGAATGCTGGACAATCTCCCGGACAGATGACGAAGAAATTTGAAGCGATAGAAATGTGGCTCTACAGAAGGATGTTCAGAATAATTTTGACTGAATGTGATGTGAACAACGACGGAGTTTTAGCAAAAAATTAAATTGGAAACTTATCTTTCTTATCCCACTTCTTTTCGAGTCGTTATTTTCTTCTGCGCTCTTTTCTTTTTAATATTAATTCAGTTCAAGACAGTCTGCCACAAGGCTATATATTCTGGGTGCTGAGAGAAGACCGAATTCACTTCAGTGGTAATGTTTTGAAACGGGGGCTTATCAACATCTACTCGGGTGATCTTTGTTTTAATTCAACACGAAAATTGAAGAAAAAATCACAGAGCGAAATTAATAAACGCGGAGAACCATCCGAAAAGTCTTGTTTGAGGCAAAGAGAACATATATATATATATATATATATATATATATATAAATATATATATACATATATGTGTGTGTGTGTGTGTGTGTGTGTGTGTGTGTGTGTGTGTGTGTGTGTGTGTGTGTGTGTGTGTATTTAAACTCGGTCGGTGGGTGAAAAAAAAAACCTGGATAGCAAAATTTTCAAATAAATTGGCATCCGAGGAAGAATGGAAAAAAAAAGGAAGCACCAGAAACCTTCGAACAGGGCGGAAGAAACCATCCAGTATCTTAAAATTCTGGTACAAAGAAAAAAAAAAAAACGCCCAGCGAGTAATAAATTAAAAGGAAGAATGCCCAATATGCTAAGTAGAGCAAAAGTAAAATAAATAACTCCTAATGAGCCAGGTACTACCTACCTAGATTTCACCACATGATGATCCCATGTGGTGAAAACTAAAAGTAAATAATACCGGCCATTAGGATTTATTTCATATATATATATATATATATATATATATATATATATTCGAATTCCAGTCGAATCCATTACATTCACTTACGTGCTGATACCCTTGGGAAAGGCATGAATCCTCTTCTTCTCCCTCCAGCTATGGGTAAATATTAGGACAGACTGGGCTCTATAGCCATGGATGGCAACTGGTCTAGGAGAAGGACAACTCTGAATTCAAAACATGCGGAGGGTCGTTTGGGAACCTCGTGGCATTCAGTGCACCAGGTCTCTGTATTCGTCCCTTCAAAAAGTGTGGATGGTCCTGCACGAAACCTTCACCAAATCAAATCTCATGTGCCGGTGTCGGGCTGTTGGTTTCCTGAAACTGATCTGCTTGACCCTCATACGTCGAATTCGACGGGAGTGTCGATTATCATATATATATATATATATATATATATATATATATATAAACCAAAAGACGGAGCCTGTCGACTTGAAATATCAAAATGGAAATACAGATTGTAATTAGTTAAAATTAATGAATAATTATTCACGATAGTTGAATTTAAAGTAGTAAAAAAGAACAAGACAAACTTGTAAAATAGGCTTACGGCCAGAGAAATGATGATAAGAACGATTGGCTGATTGATAATGATGTCAATGATTGGAACAATGATGCTGTGAAATAAACGCCGGCAATCGATAGATGATGTGAAATCAGGCAAACACTCAAAATGACGGCGACCACAATGGAAATCGAAATGGAGATTATTGGGGATAAAGCCGATGACGCTGATAACGATGATCGATCG